CTCGTGGAAAATCTTTGTCGCAAATTTAATAAAAAATCTCCCGAATATAAAGTCTTTATGAATGATCGATCGGAGAACGACTTCAACAGCATATTTATGTCTCTTGACACCTTTAAAGAAACACTAGACCATGAAATGAAAACTCAAATAGGTCCTTGTTACTTCTTTGGGGTTCCTGGTTCCTTTTATGGCAGGATTTTTCCAGATAAAAGTTTGCATTTTATTCATTCCTCTTCCAGTGTTCATTGGCTTTCAAAGGTTAATTTTTTTATCATCATTAGCTATCTTTTCTTATTATTTTTTTGTATTCTATGTATATTTATTTGTTGATCGGGGATTCTTTAGGTTCCAGATGGTGTAGACAACAACAAAGGCAATATTTACCTGTCAAGCACGAGCCCTTCAAATGTCCTCAAGGCTTACTACAAGCAATTTCAAAGAGATTTCTCTCTTTTTCTCGAGTGTCGTGCCCAAGAATTAGTTGAAGGTGGTTCTATGATTCTAACTGTTATAGGGAGAAAAAATGATGATCCATCAATTCAAGAGTCTTGTTGCATTTGGGGTCTCATGGCAATAGTTCTTAATGACATGGTCTTGCAGGTATTTTTTTCATGTTCTTAATCGTGAGTGCCAGGACTTCAAATCTTATGATTACATTCAACTTAACAATATTGACTTTTATCAATTTAGTTGGTTTTTGTGGACAAATTTTGTTTCTTATTATATATACTTGATTACGTTGCAGGGAATCATCGACGAAGAGAAACTCGATACTTTTAACATCCCAACATATTATCCTTCTCCATCTGAAGTGAATATCGAAGTTCTCAAGGAAGGATCATTTGCAATCAATAAACTTGAGATTTTTGAAGTGAATTGGAATGATCTTGATTGCTGGGAAGCTCTGGACATTGGATCTGAAATGTCAAAATCATTCAAAGACAATGGATACAATATGGCACAATGCATCAGGGCTGCAATTGAATCTTTACTAATATGTCACTTTGGTGATAGTGTCATTGAAGAGATTTTTGACCGGTATAAAAATATTTTAAATGATCGAATGTCTAAAGAGAGAACCAAGTTCACCTATCTTACCTTATTGCTGACTAGAAAACCATGAACAACAATAATTTGATTGAAGGTTTTATATTTTGAGTTCAAAATAAATTTCAAATTTCTTGTATCATTTTCCTAGCTAGTAATTAATCATGAAATGTAATGATGCAAATTAAAAATAAAAATTTACAAGTATTGTTTAAATGTTTATTAATGAGATTTAGTTCATTGAGTCATCTGATCTTCTCTAAGTCTTTTGTCGGAATAAAATTCCTTACTATATTGTATTTTCTTGCATTGTCTTATATCTGCTTATGTTTTTGAGAATTAAGTTTACGCCCTCTCATTTTAGTCTCTTATCACTATGCCAAAACTGATTTTTAACAGCGCACATTAGACAGCGCTTTTATACAAAAGCGCTGCTATAAGTGAATTTAAAAAAAAAACACGGAAACTGTATAAAATAATTAGTAAAAGCGCTGCTAAAAATATGATCTTAGACAACGCTTTTAAAAAGCGCTGCTAAAGTATCGCTTTAGAAAGCGCTTTATCAAAAGCGCTGGTAAAGGTCCACTTTAGACAGCGCTTTAAGAAAGCGTTGTCTAAAGTCATAAAAAATTAAAAAAATATCAGAAAAGCGCTGCTAAAAGACCCTATTAGCCAGCGCTTTTCAAAAGAGCTGCTATAGGTCCATATTAGCCAGCGCTTTTAGAAAGCGCTGTCTAAATCTATATAAATGAAAATTAAAAAAATAGAATCAGTGTATTCACAGATTCATGAACAGAAGCGTAACCCTTTCCCTCCCTGAACTGAAACCGAAAATCCTTCTCCGTCGTACCAGCCCCCCTCCGTCCTCCACTATCTCTCTCGGTTTTCCTTCATCCACACCGGCCAGTTCTCAAGGTAGGTTCTTTCTTGAAAATGTCTTTATCTCCATTGATGTCCAAACTGAGTTATCCTCCTATTGATAATGTACTATGCTAACATTTAAGACATTATCCTCCTATTGATGTCTAAACTGAGTTATATGTATGCATTTTGATTTTTGGGTTCTTGGTAGGACTTGATATATAACAGCAACACTTTTAGCATTTAGCATTATTGCATTTTCTTTTGGTTCTTTGTTTTGGAATAAAAAAGATGATATATATGATGGGTTTTTTTTATTATTTTAATTGGTTTCTGAATTGTTTATCATGTTTATATTTTCCATGGACTAATATTTTTTTACTAGTATTTTGAACCTATATATACAACTTGTTTTTGATGATCCCTTTGTATTGGTGTAGTTAGTCGAAGACCATCACCGATTCGAAGAACATCAAAGCCGCATCATCCGCCGTCGACACCAATAGCCCCTTTTCTTTCTTTGGTAAGTCAAGTTCAAATTCTATCTGTATCGATCAATTAAAAAACACAATTATATATATATATATATATATATATATATATATATATATATATATATATATATATATATATATATATATATATATATATATATATATATATATATATATATTTATTTATTTTAAGTCCATGTTATTAACTCTAGAAATAAATTTCTAGAAATAATTCATTTAATTCAAACAAAAAGAGAATAATCCGTTTATAGTGTTTTTGTTTACTTGAATAAGTAGAAAAAAATGGATAAAAAATGGATGTTTGCCGATCTATTGTCACAAGAGTACGAGAATGGGGTATTGGAATTCGTTAAGTTTGCTGTTGAACACGCCAAAGACCCCAGTCGAATGAAGTGTCCTTGCTTGGGTTGTTGTTATGTGGGTCGGGTTAACGCAGATGGATTGAAATCGCATTTACTAATGCGTGGAATTGATAGAAGTTATACATGTTGGATATTTCACGGTGAAAAAAGTAACGACAACGTTGAACCGGGAGAGAAAAGTAGTACGACATATGCTTCAGACGACAAGGACACAAATACATACGATTTTGATTGAGTCAAAGAGAATGCAGATGCACTTGAAGAAGATCTTCAGGATTGTCCCAAAATGTTTGAGAGATTGGTAAGCGATGCAGAGAAACCGTTGTATAAAGGTTGCACTAAATTCACAAGACTGTATGCAGTATTAAAGTTGTACAACTTAAAGGCGGGCAATGGATGGTCAGATAAAAGTTTCAGAGTTATTAGCCCTTATGAGAGATATGCTTCCGGAGGATAATGTTCTTCCTAATCGAACCTATGAGGCCAAAAAAATATTGTGCTCTATTGCCATGAGCTATGATAAGATACATGCTTGTCCAAATGATTGCGTTTTGTTTCGAAACGAATATGCATCGTTAAATGAGTGCCCTAAATGTGGTTTGTCTCGATATAAGAAAAAATTGTCTCCAGCAAAAGTCTTATGGTATTTTCCTATAATTCAGAGATTTGGGCGCATGTTTCGTAGTGAAACTGAAGCAAGACACCTTACTTGGCATGCAGATGAAAGAATTATTGATGGAAATTATCGACATTCGGCAGATTCACCACAGTTGTCGAAAATTGATAATGATTATCCTGATTTTGGAGAAGAAGCAAGAAACCTTCGCTTGGATTTATCTACTGATGGAAGGAACCCGCATGGTCTTCAAAGTATCTCACATACCATATGGCCTGTGATTCTTATGATTTATAACCTACCTCCATGGCTATGTATGAAGCGTAAGTACATGATGTTATCTATGTTAATATCTGGGCCTAAACAACCAGGGAATGACATAGACGTATACTTGACACCTTTGATCGAAGATTTAAAGATTTTGTGGGAGAACGGGGTGAAGGTTTATGATGGATATAGGAAACAAAGTTTCAATTTGAGGGCAATGTGGTTTGGTACAATTAATGATTTTCCAGCATACGGGAATCTATCTGGGTATAGCATTAAAGGTCAACGTGTGTGTCCTATTTGTGAATATGGAACCGATACGACGTGTTTGGAACTTTGTCAGAAGAATGTGTTTCTTGATCATCGTAGATTCTTACATTCTAAACATCACTATCGTGCATGGAGAAAATCATTCAATGGAGACACCGAACAACGTAAAGCTCCACCTGCATTGTCAGGTGACCAAATTTTTGAAAAGGTGAAAGATGTGTGTACTCATTTTAGCAAGCCTTTTGCGCATACGGTTGTCAAAGGTGGGTGGAAGAAGAGATCGATTTTTTTTAATTGCCATATTGGAAGTCTTTGTATGTGAGACATTTTCTCGATGTTATGCATATTGAAAAAATGTATTTGAAAGTGTTATTGGTATGTTACTCAATATTAAAGTAAAGTCTAAGGATGACCTTAAAGCAAGGGAGGACATGTTAAAGATGGAAATACGAACTGAACTAGGACCCGTGAAGAAAGGAAGCCGAACATATCTACCACCTACTGCTTTTACTCTATCTAGAAAGGAGAAAAAGATATTGTGTAAGTTTGTAAGTGAAGTTAAAGTTCCAGAAGGATACTCTTCAGATATTAGAAGACTTGTGTCTATGAAAGACCTCAAGTTAAAGAGTTTAAAGACACATGATTTCCATGTTTTAATGGAGCATTTTCTACCAATAGGTATACGTTTTATTTTGCCAGATAAAGTAAGGAGTGCGATAACTAAGTTGTGATTTTTCTTTAGGTCAATTTGTAGTAAGGTGCTTGATCCTGAGATCTTACCAACATTGCAAAAAGAAATTGTTATTACTTTGTGTGAGCTTGAAATGTATTTTCCTCCCTCATATTTTGACATAATGGTACATCTAGTTATTCATCTTGTGAAAGAGACACAGTTGTGCGGCCCAACTTATATGAGATGGATGTACCCTGCTGAACGTTATATGAAAGTATTAAAAGGGTATGTGAAAAACCAAAGTCGCCCAGAGGGTTGTATTATTGAGCGATACATTGTTGAAGAAGCGGTTGAGTTTTGTACTGAATAATGCAAGAATGGGACTACACATGAATGGGAGCGCTGGAGAAGTAAGCTATGCAAAAAGCTCTTCACTTCAGGTGTATATATACTTATAAATAATGAAACTATATAACTACTATATTATATTTACGCTTTAAGTTGTATGTATTTATTTGTAAATATACAGCGAAAAGTGATATCTGTGACAAAACCTTTGAGAGATGAAGTCATAACTAATTTGTACTGCAACACACTGCCCAAAAGCTTGGCAATTGCAGACTTCAGATGCTCTTCTGGACTAAACACTTTATTAGTGATCTCAGAATTTATCAAGCTCGTGGAAAATCTTTTTCACAAATTTAATAAAAAATCTCCCGAATATAAAGTCTCCGAATTTAAAGTCTAATGATTACGTTCAACTTAACAATATTGACTTTTATCAATTTAGTTGGTTTTTGCGGACAATTTTTGTTTCTTATTATATATACTTGATTACGCTGCAGGGAATCATCGACGAAGAGAAACTCGATACTTTTAACATCCCAACATATTATCCTTCTTCATCTGAAGTGAATATCGAAGTTCTCGGAGAAGGATCATTTGCAATCAATAAACTGGAGATTTTTGAAGTGAATTGGAATGATCTTGATTGCTGGGAAGCTTTGGACATTGGATCTGAAATGTTAAAATCATTCAAAGACAATGGATACAATATGGCACAATGCATCAGGGCTGGGATTGAATCTTTACTAGTTTGTCACTTTGGTGATAGTGTCATTGAAGAGATTTTTGACGGGTATAAAAATATTTTAAATGATTGAATGTCTAAAGAGAGAACCAAGTTCACCTATCTTACCTTATTGTTGACTAAAAAACCATGAACAACAACAATTTGATTGAAGGTTTTATGTTTTGAGTTCAAAATAAATTTCAAAATTCTTGTATCATTTTCCTAGCTAGTAATTAATTATGAAATGTAATGATGCAAATTAAAAATAAAAATTTACAAGTATTGTTTAAAGGTTTATTAATGAGATTTAGTTTATTGAATCATCTGATCTTCTCTAAGTCTTTTGTCGGATTAAAATTCCTTACTATATTGTATTTTCTTGCATTGTTTTATATTTGCTTATGTTTTTGAGAATTAAGTTTACGTCCTCTCATTTTAGTCTCTTATGAATATTATATTATTATAAAAATTTCAATAAATTAAATATTCTATTTTAAAAGAAAAGTATAAAGATCGATATATTAATTATTATAAATATTTTCTTTCTAACACTCTCTATCTGATTTTTGCCACTAACTATACACCACAACTCAAGCAAAAGAGGAAAAGAGGTTAACAAAGTTAGGGGCTAGCAAACTTTCAAGCAACCGACGGTAAAAAATGGAGAAGAGAATAACAAGAAGCCTAAAAAATTATATAATATATACGGTTGGAAATAAGTTAGGGTGAGTTAAACTTTGTGAAGCTTGAATCTGTCATATTGAAAATTTTAAAATTTAAGTCTAGTATATATCTTATCATATATTTATTTTTAAGTTTAAATTTAGCCTTTTTGAATGTTTAATTGTCTTACTAATTTATTTAAAAGCCCATTTTATTTAAATATTTATAAATAAAAAAGTTAACTAATATTAAATGGATTAATAAATTAAAAGATCAATAAGACTAAATATTTATTTTCATTAACTCATTTGAATTTACCTATTATCATAAATTTTATGATATTATTTATTTAAACGAATTTATGAAAATAACTTATGACAACATTCTTCAAATGTTTCTTTCAATTTATTTTGATATATTATTCAAGATAACTAAACGTTATTTTGGATATTTTAATTTAATGTATAAAATATATTATTGTTTTACAAAGCGACTTAACAAAATTTTTAATAATTCAGAGTTAATATTTTACTTAACAGAATATTATTATTCTAAATATTTCCAATTTAACTTTTCAAGAAAAAGTTTTATAAAATATGTTTTATTTAAATTGAAAACCACCAAATTGATAATTAAGTGGTTAATTAACATAATTTAAATTAAAATATAATTCATCGTAAAAAAAAGAATGAGAAAAAAGTAACATTGTGATAATTGGATAATGGAAAATAATAATTGAATTCAAAAGAAAGAAATGAGGAAAAGAAGAATTACCTTTCTAAGTCATTTTAGATTTTTCACATATATTAAAAAGATGATAATTTTTATATCATTAATTATTCATTTGAAGTGTAAAGTGATTTATACTGTAGTACAAATATTTTTTACTAAGCCACTTATAATAAAAAATGGAGGAAATAATTGTCATAATCTGCAGCTAGACAACAGGACGGGTCGATGACAGTTTTTATCTTCCTCAATCCCGCCATCATCTATTTAGTAAAATTAAATTTTTAAATATAAATGTTTTTTCAAAAATCAAATTACATTATAAATAATGAAATAAAACAATCTCAAAAAGTTTCATACATACAGTTTAAATATTTTAAATAATAAATAGAAATCAAATAATCAAAACATTGATCACATATTTAATATTATAAATTATCAAAAATAAATAATAATCTATATAATAAAATAAACGAGACTGGTTCGAGAACAAATTCGGATGGGTACTAGTGTCCCAATTACCTACCCGTCTTCAAATTTTGCAATCGGGGAAAACTCAAATCTGAATTCAAACCAATCAAAACGGATTTTCTCCATCAACTTCAAGACGGATTCGGGTGAGTACCCGCGAATACAGATTTTGTTATCATGCTAAGCTTGAATTCAAAATAAATCAAAACAGATCGGAAACATACTCATCACTGATGAAATAAAGAAATCACAAAAAATAAATTAATCCTCCAACACTATATTCGCACCCGCCATATTTTTCTATTTATGCACCTTCAATAACAAGCTTTCTTTTATAATTTAGAGTTATACGTGGTATTTCACATGTGTGTTGTTATTGCCTTTATATTTTTATTAATTTTTTTGGATTTTTTATGTGTTTATTGGATTTTTCAAAAAAAAATATAGAAAGTTTTTGAAATATTCACTTATTTCTAGTAAATATTTAAAGAAATACAAGATTTTTAGAAAAACTTGGTAAAACTGCTGATAATTCATATTTGTTAGAAATTTTTTTTTAATACTATCGAATTTTTCGAAAAATCCGATAAACTATTATATTTTTTGAAAAATTTGATAAATTATAATATTTTTCGAAAATTCCGGTAGTGTTCAATATTTTTTTTACTTATTGAATATGAACTACCATTTTTTTTAAAAACCCGGAAAATTATCATAGAGATCGGATTTATCAAAAAATCCAGTATGTTAAATTTAAATTTCAAAAAAACCAGTAAAAATTCATATCGGACTTTAAAAAATATACAACCATAATTTTGAAATTTTACAGAAAATTCTCAATGAACTATCGAAAATTTTGTTTGCATATTTTTATCCAATTTTGTCTAGGGATAATTTGAAATTGATGAAATACGTGGGGTGCTAGGTATAAGCGGGATGTGGCAGGTTAAGTCCTTGGATTAAGATGATGACCTGCTCTAGCCCATATTAAAAGGTACTCAGAAGGTTGTAACTGATGTTATTTGTCTCCTTCGAAAGATCACTTCTCTTTGTAACATGCCCTCCTTTTTTTCATGAAGAGACCGTCGATCTTCACCCAACTTTTGAAATTTCATTTACTTAGACTCTTGAATCTCTTTATCGGCTTCTAACTTTTTAGCGGCCAAAAGCAAGTCCTCTCAATCCTTCTAAATCATCTCCCCGACCTCTAAAAATTTCACACCGACTTTAGACATAACCTTATTTACTTTATCATGGGTGGCTAGGGGGAAACAGGCATGTTCGTCCCGTTTAGGTCCGCCTCGCAAATGCCCACAAAAAAAGGACGGGCTTTGTTGAAGGTATGAGCCTAAAACCTCTCTCTACCCCGCAAAAAAAAAGAGTGTGGAGCGGAGCGGGCCCATGAGCAATGAACATTTTAAGCCTAAAAATTATAAAATTTTATGTTAATGCTCGTGTCTGCAAAAGCCCACAAAAAACGGGGAGAACATATTAGAGAGTGTGGGCCTAAAACCTTGACCCGCCAGCAAAAATGTGAAGGGAAAACGGCATGCCTGATGGGCCGAGACCGTTTTGCCACCCCTATGGGTGGCATTATGTTATTGTTTCAAAAGAGTGTATTATGTCCTCAGACTTTCTTCCTATTTCAAAAACTCAATATTAGTAATAAATATTGAAACATTCAAAGTGTGGAGCCTTGCCACATAAGGAATAGGGATGTTCAAAATCAAACAGATCCAATAGAAAACAGCAAAACTAAATCGAATCAAACTGAAATCGTAAAAAACCCCATTTGGTTCGTATGTGATTGAGTCATTTTCTCACGGAACCGTGCGGATCGGTTTGGTTTATGGTTTGTATTTTACAAATTGAATCAAACCAAACAAAACCAAATTATGTTATAAAATCTTACTAACCAATATATATTTCTTTTATTTTTTAGAGAAATCAACATGTATTATGTGTATATTTTATCATACTTTGTATTATATTTATTTTAATTTATAAATCATAAAAAAATAAAATATTATTAATTTATAAATACTATTTTTACAGAATATATTTTATCGTATTCTTTGTATAATATTAATTTAATAATGCAATCTTGTCTATATCATTCTATAGATTTAGATAAAATTATAATACGCAATTTTATGTATCAAATTATACACTTATTTTGACAATTATAAATTTTTTATGGTAATGTATGAACAATTAAACACAAAATTATATTTTCCTCTATATTTGTATGTATGGATTAATAATTTTTTTGTAAAAAACCAAACCAACCGAATCAATCCAAACTGTATTAGTTTGATTTGGTTTGGTTTGAATTTATTTTTAAAAGTCAACCGAACCAAATTGAACTGCATATTTTTTCTCTTCTGGTTCGGGTAATTTTTTGCTTCAAAACCGTCCAAACCACATCGCGAACACTCCTAATAAGAAATACCTTCCGCGTTGACTTTCTTGTAAACCATCAGCTCAATGTCAAAAATATGAACCATGTCCACTTGAACGACTACGGAAGACAATTTCTTGTGAGAACTAGGAAATTAATCCACTATGGAGATTATTTCCCTCCTTAAAATAATGATGATATTTCCTCTTTTCGACATTAGTGTGGTCATAAGATTTTTCAGCAAAAGACAATACATTGTTGAAACAATAGTTTTTAGAGCATCATTTGAGAGATAAGTGTCCTTAGAAAGAAGGAATATGGCATCTACATCAAGGGTCATATTTAAAGCAAAAACAACCAAATATTGCAAAGGAATTTCATCAATGGATGAAGGATGAAGAGTCATTGTTGGTAACCACAAAATCAACATTAGAGGTTGTAGCTTTATAACCAATATTGATTTATCTTGTGGGCCTTATATTTATTCTATTTTTCCATATTATGTGCACAAGAAAATCATAAGTTGGTTCAATAATAATAACAATATATTTCAAATACTTTATTAAAATTTTGTTTTGATTACAAAGTGTTAAGTGGTCATTGTTTGAGATAGAAAGTTACGTGTTTTCTATTCAAGTTTAAAAGAAAGTGGTGTACTTTATTATTTATGTTAGAAAAGTGTATGAGGGATATTGATGTGAGGTGTGTATAGATTATAACATAGTCTCTCACGTGGTGTGAGAAAATTAGATGTACTCTTGTTTGGAAAGGATAACTAGTATACATTTTAGTGTCCTTTAATTTTCTCCATTTATTTTAATCACTTT